TCGAACAAAATGGAAAATACATTACAGATTAAACTTCGTTCCAAGTAAAAAAAATTCTTTTATTTCATTGAACAAATCGACAATTACTTAGTTGCCAACCCAATAAATTACGGCTATCCGTGTGAATTCCTATTTCAACATCTGCTCGATAATAATTGGAATCGACCGAATAATTCTTTCCCCGATTCAACCGTTACTCATGTTAACTAGAGGAATAATAACAATAATTTTGGTAGCAGTATCGGTACCAAATAATATTTTCACTCGGAAATATTAATGATAAGAAAATACAATTGACAAAAATTGCCAAGTTAACGAAGAAATGATTTGTTTTTTTCTTGGACATATCGAAATACAGATTATAGAGAAGAATTAAATTCCATTCTGTTTTCGAAACCGATGACGGTTTTGAGAAAATTGAGTTTGAACTTTCGCGAAGCACGCGTGCGTTAGTACAAGATCAGACTTTCTACGAGCGTGCAATTTTCAAGTTGTCAGAGAGATGGCAAAAGGTCGTCGAACAAAATGGAAAATACATTACGGATTAAACTTCGTTCCAAGTAAAAAAAAATTCTTTTATTTCATTGAATAAATCGGCAATTACTTAGTTGCCAATCCAATACAATATTGGTTAGGCGGGACTCGGGATAATTATTTCATTTTCGACGGGTCTAAAATGTAGCACAGTAAATTCTCTCCAATGGACAAACAATGGACGATTTGGGAAGCGGACATACGACCATTCGAGCGCCGCGGCTCGTTTTTATAATTGTTGACAATCGGCGACTATAAAAACGAGCCGCCATTTCTTGTGAAATTGTCCATTTCTGTTTGCAAGCTGCGAGACAATCGGAGAGAATTTATCGTATCTGGCACTGTTCAGATTTCGAGCGCAAAGTTCATAACGTCAGGAACATTTAGCGAATCTCGTATATTACGATACTAGATGCCGGAGTTGAGCATATTTTATTCGAATAACGAATACAATTTTATTTGTAGAATTTTTTCGAAATATTATTCGACGCGTTATCCGAATGAAACTTTATTTGAAGAATTTATCCGATATTATTATTCGAAATGTTTCGAATGAATGAATTCGAGTTGTATCATTTTGCGAAACGCGATAGTCAATTATTTTCTCAAAAATGTGTTAGAATTACGAACGATAAGCTTGTTCAAAGACCTTCACTCAAGATGTCAAAACTTTCTGCTCTAAATCTGGAACATTTCAGTATTTCCCGGAACTGACAGAGTAACAGAGCCATATTGCAAACTGAAAGCACAAACTCTGAATAACTTCATCGTCAACAGCTATATTTTCATACGACGATGGAGAGTTACTTTATTAAAATTTATCTTAAACAGTATTATTTCATGCGACGACTGGAATTTAAAGCAGTTGTTACACCGGATTTATCGAAACAAAAGAAAAGGTGATTTTATTTTATTTTTGTTCAAAGAACGAATAAGACATCGTAATTTCTAAATGTTTCGATTTATGAAAATGCGTCTGGATTAAATTTCCTCTCGTAAAATTTCGTTTATCCTCAATTATCCTGAAAGTATAATTCATCTTAATTCCGCAGAACGCTTTGTACACGGATCCTAAGGATACTCTCGTTAGAAGAGGTTAAGCAGAGCAAACGAAACAATTCTTATATAGTATTATGGATTTAACGAGATGAATATTCGTAAACGAATGAAAGGAACATCTCTTATATATATATATATATATATATTTATGAGGTTATTTTACCAACTGGGTCAGACGATAACTCTATTTTAATTGAACTTGGGAAAGCGTTCTGAAGAAAAATTTTGTATTTTTTTAACAAAGCTCTTAATTCTCTTTGCATTTTGTTTTTTTTTTCAATGAAATCCAGCACTGTTGTTTGTACGTATCGATCCCGCGTGCCATTCTGATTAAACAAATATTCAAGTGAAATCGCGAAGAACTAAATATTTTTCGAAGTAATTAAATTGTTCTTTGACATCGATCACGAACACTCGAACCGTACGCAATTACAAACCTAAACACTGTTCCACGCATTCCGCTTTCTACATTATCCATTGTGTTATTCTTTTATTCAACGCTGTCCGATTTAAATATATTCCGTGCCTTCGCTTCGCATAATATCCGTATTTTTTCATTAGTAATTCATTTCAATTTAATTCGTAACAAGTCCATTGCGGATTTTATACAATTATAAAATGACCACGGGAAATGGAATATCACAAGATTATTAAAAAACCGTTTATGTTCCATCAAGGTACCATAATGTAATTGCTTCGTTTAAATTCGTGGATTTTCAACCAGATTTCTGTTTGTAATACAAACTATCTTCGAACTTTGCAATTTGTTTCTATTGTTTGCCGAATTATGAACGTAAAGAAACAGGTATTCATATCGCATACAAAATAGTGGCGGTCATACCAGTCCACGTACGATTATCGAACACTATGCGAATTTGTTTGTTACGTGAGACTGGATAAATTGCGGAAAATGACGATGCTTCTTATGTTAAAAAGAGAATGAAGTAGATTAGTACAAGAATTACAAGATAATTATAGTATAATTTATAATGTAATTATAATATAATTCTTATTTATAACAGAATTATAATGTAATTCTTATTTATAACAGAATTATAATATAACTCTTATTTATAATATTATTTACTTAATATATTAAATATAATATGACGTATTAATATAATAATATAATAATATATTAATATATTAAATAATATTATATACTTAATATATCTGATTATGATTTTACTTAATGTGCAACTAGGTTGGTTCCAAAATTGAGCTTCGATACGTATGAACTACACACACATATCGATGCTCAAATACATCGTAATATTAAATATCGATACGAAGTATCGACATTCGACTCGAGAAGCATCGATATTTGAAATAACGATACCGTATCGGCTATCGCTGCTGAAGATAGCCACCTAAGTATCACACATCTCCGGATAGACTCCGTATAAACAAGATGACAATTTCGCATTTCAGGTTCACCGCGCCGAAAGTGGCCGTTCTACCAGAATAAATCACGTTCGCCGCTCGAATAGGAATGCCAGAACAATTAAAGATCATATAATATATATAATAATATATATAATAACAATATATATAATAATATATAATATAATAATATAATAAGATCATATAAATTCGAAGTATGCACGTAATTCCGACGGCGATATTCAAGAGGACGGGCGCATTCAGTGAATAGAACAGATCGTGAAGACGTGTTCGATAACTACCTCGAAGAGTTCTCGCGCGTCTTCGAGTGCGTGATTCACCATAGTGCAAATTTTTCGAACACTCGGAACAGAGATTAATCTGAAGAGAAATTATTCGGTATAGAAATTGTTCGGAAGAGAAACCGCTATATATCGATGCCTCTGTACGCTATCACAGCCTAGTGAAGCACAGATCTTGCATCGATCGCTGCAGAAATCCTGCTAATTGCTACTGAATAGCGCACTCTTATCGATCGGAGATCCAACAAATGCGAAGAATTCGGGACTTCGGTCTCGTCGAAGTTCACCGTGTGCGTCGCGATAAAGGGACTGAATAACGTGATCTCGGCGAGTGTTCCTCCGTAGAAAGTGTGTGAATTCTACCGAGCAAATTCCCGGGAAGCTCGGCGTGGAAGAAAATGAAGACCGGTGGTGGGTACGTGTTTCCTTAAAACTAACTTCGCTGCCCGCGAAGGTTGTCCGTGTAATCCCTTCCGGAGCCGATCGGAAGGACCGTTCTCCTCTGTGCCGGAAGCCGAGATTACGGAAGCATCGAGTGGAAGAGCACAGAAGAGAGAACAGAGAGAGAGAGAGAGAGAGAGAGAGAAGACATAACTGATCGCGAAAAGGTGAGTACGTGTCGATAACAATAATCGTAGGATAAATTAATGTTGCGCGACGCACGACGAGGGGGATGGGGGTTGGTCGCGGGGGACAGGCATTTATCAGCTCCTCCTATGTGATTCGATAATGCTGATTTACATATTTCCCGATAATGTCCCGGCATATTTCGACGCGCGCCGCGCGCGCCGCCGGAGTTGTAATCGCGTGTGTAATTCTTGTCCCTGGGTACGCGCGATCGAGCTTATAATGGCCGGGTATTAACGAAAATCCGTCTTAAATCTCTTGTAAATTAAATCTTCGATGATGTTGCCGGCGCGGAGCAGAGCGTAGCGAAGGGTGGAGAGGCGTCATCGTTGCCCGCCACCCACCGCGGTATCGATGCGCGTGATAACCGGGCTAATTCGCTTTTCTCCGGGATAATGGGCGGCGGCGGAGAGGGGGGGTAGGGGGAGCTTTATCGAGGCCCGAAGTGTATCTTAAGTTTCGAAGCTCGCGTACATTATCGACACGTTCTACCATCGCCGCCGGTATTGGGGTAATTTACCTTGTGGGATTTAATGACGCGGCTGCATCGTTCAAACTTCATTCCTATCTGTTTTATTACTTCGCTCGGGATGTCCTTGATCTCGCTTCTTTCGAATTTTTATTAGCGTCCCGACGTTCGCCGTGTTCGCAATTCCGCGTGTGATGCGGCCGATGCGTTCTTTGGGGATTTTTTTTAGGAATTTTAGTAGGCTGAACCTGTGAAAAATCTCGAAAAGAACAATTTGTTGCGTGTAGTCGTAATTGAGAAAGTTCTATCTAGTCTGGAGATCGTTGTGTCTTAGATCTCGTACGTTTTTCGTGTCAGTTCGACACATTTCCCGTTCCGAATGTGGTAGAACCTCGATTATACAAGCTAAGCAGTGTGACATGAATGTACGGATAATGGAACAATTACTTAGTTCTATTAGATTGTATGAAATCGTATTAAATCATAGGAACTGTATTCATTGTATTAAGTTAGATTGTATCAAATGGTTTTCAATTATATTAAATTATATTAGATTATTTTCGATTATGTTGGATTGTATTAAATTATATTAGATTATTTTTAATTATGTTGGATTGTATTAAATTATATTAGATTATTTTCAATTATGTCGGATTGTATTAAATTATATTAGATTATTTTTAATTATGTTCGATTGTATTAAATTATATCAGATTATTTTCAATTATGTCGGATTGTATTCAATTATATTAGATTATTTTCAATTATGTCAGATTGTATTAAATTATATTAGATTATTTTCAATTATGTCGGATTGTATTAAATTATATTAGATTATATTAAATTATATTACATTACATTATATTAGATTATTTTCAATTATGTCGGATTGTATTAAATTATATTAGATTATATTAAATTATATTACATTACATTATATTAGATTATATTAAATTATATTACATTACATTATATTACATTAAATTGTTT